GACGATTTATGTCCTTCGCTTCTAGATTTACCTGAACAAGGACAGCTTTGTCTTTCCAAACTCAGCTCTAGCTTAATCACAACATTTCAAGGTTGTTCGTTCTGGTTGCAGAATACCTCTGGCCTGTAATTCACCGGTCGATATTCTCTTCCCATTTTCCATCACCTTCACGAGTAAAGATGGGGCTATTTTGGACACGTTCATACGCATCCCAGCCATGTCGCTCCCTGCTTCGAACCTTTCCACGAATCGCTGCAGATAGTTTTATAGCATACCATCAAAACGAGGTCGTCTGCAAACAAGATACTTCTTATCTGTACATTTCATACGCTGATACATTTCTCACTCTGCCTGGGCCTGGCTATTCTATCCATGTACAACACAAACAGGAGAGAGGACATAAGGCAGCCTTGGTGGAGACCAGTGCCAGACATGGAAGGCTTCGTCTTAACACCAATTGCTCTGAAGCAGCACCTGATATCAGCACATAGAGATTGGATAGCGCGTCGCAACTGGCCATCGATCCCGTATGTTTACAGGCATGACCACAGGCTACTGCGCGGGATTCGGTCATAAGCTTTTTCGAGGTCAACAATGCACATGTACAACGGATGGACGAAATCCCACGATTTCTCAACGCAGGGCAAATATATGTTCAGAGGTGCTTCGACCGGGCCGGAAGCCATACTGCTCTTCTATCTTGGAGTCAGTTATTCAGTGGCACCTCCCTTCTAGCACCTTTGCATACATTTTCCCTCGGAGTTTCTATAAGGTAATACCCAGATAATTTAACCAAACTCTGTGGTCTACATTCTTGAACAGGGGTACTACAGCTCGTTTCTCCAGTCCACTGGTGTCTTATCAGTAGCCAGTTAAGTTTGACAATCGTGTTTAAGCCAGCACATGCCATGTTCACTTCATGCTTTGAGCATTTCAGAGCGGATTTCATCATTTCCAGCAGCTTTTTTTCTGTTCAAGCATTTGGCAGCTTAATGTAACTTCCTCTACAGAAGTTCTAATTGCTGCTCTACTTGCGAGTCTCTGCGATTGCTCGGGGTTAAGGAGTTCCTCAAAGTACTCTCTCCATCCCCGAAGAATGTCCTTATCATCGGTAAGAGGGTGTTCAAACCTGTGCTTCGAGACTCTGCCCTTCTTTTCATCTCGGAGCCGGAGAATGGTCTGCCAGAATACTTTGTTTGCCGTGTGAAAAATCGACTCCAACACCTCACTGAACTTCTCCTAGGAATCAGCTTTGGCTTTTGCCACTGCTTTGGCTGCCGCCTTTCGTGCCTCAATATATCGCACGCGAGTAGCAGATTCTTTTTTTCCAAGCCATTTCTTGAACGCTGCGTTCTCTTTAACTGCCAGCTGTACCTCCTGCGTCCACAATGAAGATCTTTTCTGACCTCCAGGCGGTAGGCCAACTCGTTTAAAACCGCAGCAGTCAGCGACAGCCTCGAGTATGCCGCTTTTAAAGAGCTGCCACTCGGTTAACACGTCAGTTGTCATCGCCGGGATCGTCGAAGTGAAATCGAAACCGTCGTGCGATGTTTGCAAATTTCGCTCTCGAGTCCGCCGAAGATAATGTTTCCCATTTGATTCT